CCCTGTATGCCTCCCCTTGCCCTGTTCCCTCCACTGTCCCTGACCTCCTCAGAGTCGTCAAAATCTCGTTTCTTGGTTTACATACCACATTTCTCCTTATCTTCCTTACAATAATGGTGTTATTAAATGCTGATCTTTGCAACGACTGAGTGTGCTAAGCATAATGTTCTCTAGTTTTGTACATGTCTTGCAGTGTTTAATAAGGGTTATCATTGTTTTTTATTGATGCATGAAATTTCATAGTACGAATAAATGTACCAGAGTTTCCTTATCTGTTCTTCAAGAGTTGGGGGTTTGGGTTGTTTCCATGTTTTTGCACTTGTGGAAAATGCTGCAATAAATATGAATGTACACATGTCTGCTTGTGTTCTATTCTGAATTTCTTTAGGTCATACACCCAGCAGAGAGATGGCTGGATCACATATGGGACTTGTATTTGCATTTGTTTAAGGAACTGTCATACTGATTTCCATAGTGGTTGTGCAAGTCTATGTTTTTACATTGCTGATGAGACTGTAGAACTGTATAGCACTTTTTAAAAATCTGATGAAGGCTGAGATTTAAGAATAAATGAGAAAGTCTATTAGGTCATTCCAGGCTATCAATCGGGTTGCAATTGATATACAATAAGGAAGCTTCAAAAACGTTCCCATGGACTTTATAAAGCCATTTCATATTATTTCTCCAGGTCATGAGAAAGTTACTATTGTTTCCAATCCAGTTTAAGCTCTTCCCACACATCACATTATGTAAACAAAACCATTTGAAAAATCACACACTTTCGGTGTCATTTCAGTCCCCTTTAAAAAGAGAGAAAGGCTTACTTATCTGGGGTAAACTTCCAACTATCATTTTCTAAATTTCTGAAATTGTTATCTGTGTATCCTGAAAGTCCTTCATATTTTTCTTTATCTATACAACAAAATAGTCTAAAACGCTATAAATACGTTTGGAAAAGAAGAGAAAGATATAGTCTAGATAAAATGTTGACACCCTCCCCTCCCCTGAGAAGAGTGTATCTCAAACGATGGCACTGAATCTGCAGCTTCGGAAGAAGGATAGATCTGACCAGAGCACACAGGAACAGATGACGGGGGAGGAGGAGAGACTGGAGCACATCCTGACCCACTAGGCCAAATAGAGCAGCCAGTCCAGAGAGGACCACATGGCCAACCCCACT